CCGCCGCCGCCGCACCGCCACGGTCACTTCTATTTCGGCTGAACTACTGCTGTGCTACTGTACTATCATACACCGTACTACGTACTATTGCACTACTGCCTTATTGTACTCTGTACCATTGTAGCTACTAAGTGCTGTACCATTGTACTCTTGTGCGCTGCTACCGTACTAGGGCCTTCACTAGGGAGGCCACTCACCGAACCCGGTAGCACATTACAGTAGGGGCCTTAATAATGAGAATAGAGTTTTGGGCTCCTTTATAGTATATTTACAATAAGGAACCCTAACAGTAATACTGGTAATTCTTTAGGCTTCTTTATTATACACAACAGAACCACAGACCTTCAACCCGAACGCCCCTAAGTCCCACAGCCAGGGTACACTACGGTTCGTGAAAGGAAATACCAACGTGATCAGTATTTATCAGTGTTACGTGTATTAACCGTATTCTCAGGCTTCCAATCCTTCTTATTCTTATGACTATTAATTATGACTACAACACGCTTCAAGGCCTCCAGGTGTCGCATTGCTGGCCATCGATGCCGCTCCTCTGGGCCTGTGGCTTGCAGATTGCGAATTCGGGTGTTCCAGGGCTCAGGGTTTAGGGTGCAACTGTACAGTAGACAGTTGTTATTGGCTCCCGCATCGCAACCCTCAGGAAGCACGGCAGGTGCCGGTGTAGGGTTTTAGGGCCTTCGAGGATTTGGAGCTTGTGGCTACGAGTCTAGAGTTCAGGGCTTACTGTTATAAGGGTTAATACGCACCATTACGCACCACTGTAAATCTTAAACTTTGCACCGCCTTTGCTTTGCAAACAAAGCAAGATCATGCTGACTCTCACTGTTCGCACTTCTGCGTCTCAGAAGATGAAACGCCGAAGTTGCCGATGACCAGTACGCATTGGATGCAAGATTCGACGGCATGGCGTACGGCGCGGCAGCCAGCGTCATACCAAGCATACTAGCTGTGCTAGCTATGCTCGTGATACAGGCTACAGCAGGACAACAACAGCATTCCCAGTAATCCTGTGCAGATTTGCGGATTCAGCCTGACTTCTCTTTGCTGAATGCTGCTTGTACAATCCAGTGCTTCTCTCCGCTTGTCAACGTCTCCTGCTGGGGTAAACGTAATTGCTGACGGTTTACAGCAGTTCAACAAACCGGCACATCCCGAACGACGTGAATCGCACATTGCGATCGGTGACGGGATCCACATCCATCTTTTCAGAAAGCCGGGGGTACAAAAAAGAAGAACGCACAACTGATCGTGCAATAACACAAGCGAGTGGCCTAGAGATCCCACCAGCAGCGCTGGGCTCATCGCTTCTTCTCCCTGCCGCAACTGAGCGGTTTTGCAAAACCAGGGTTAGTTAATGTGCTAAATGGGACTCAAGTACAAATACACCATCCCGTCTTTCTGTTAGCTGTGGTGTTTGCAGCTCCTGCTTTCTATGTTTAGAGTTTAGAGGTACATCACCATAAGAGCCCTTGGCAGCCGAGTGCTTACCTACCGAGATGCGTCTGACTTTTCATATTCATGGCGGCAGTCTCCATGACCTGTGCCCAAGACCAAAGGCATTTCCTCACAAGACGAGACTAACAAACTTTGCAGCATCGAGTTTGCTTATTAGTTATTGGCAAGCCGCGATGTGTGACCACAGGTACAGTATTGGACGACCTATGTCATGTAGTAGCCGGAATCAGCGCGAGTGTTGGCACGAGAGGGGAACTCGAGGGAGATGCTGCGACAATGTAGATACGAGAACAGAGAACATAAGCAAATAATTACAGGGCAGAGGGGTCGGCATACTTCGACGTCTCAGATCGACCCTTACCCTTCCAAGCCCATCTTGAATGGACCGTGCTGAAGTCGGCAAAGCCAACAAGAGACCCTAAACCCCTCCTTGAGTCCTAACGATCAGATTCGTCGCCTTGGGAGTCCCTCTCGCGGCAAAAGTGCTGTGATGGCTATAAGCACGGTCGCGGCCTGGCAAATCTGGTTTAGGGCTGAGGAGTGCCAGAGGACAAACAGGAACGGGTGTTGCCCAACGAGTACGAGTTTCCATCAGCACTAAGAAGACTTGACAACTCAAGCAACACCCAGCATTCGGTTCAGTGTAAGTGTCAACCCTGGCGCTGAGGGCTCAGAGCGGGTCTTAGGTTTAGTAGATCACCGGCGCTGGTGCTCTGATGCGGGCGACGCCGGAACTTTGCAACGACCTGTGCCTCACTTCAGTTCCTGGATGTTCCTGGCATGCATGGAGTTGTCATGTCTTGGGGGATAGATGGGCCCTGCCTAACCTCAACCGTACCTTTTCCGGACCTTGGGATCCAAGCCGGACACATCCCCAGTTTGACATCTGCCAGAGGCGCTTTGCCCCTCCGGACCCTGGGCCGGGACAGACGCGCGACGAGTAATGGCAGCAGCCGCTTGTGCTGGTGGTGGTGGTGGTGGTGTGGAGCAACAGCAGCAGCAACTACGCAGTGGTACATGTGCTGGTGCATCACCTTTCAGGTCACAGTCGAAACGTGGCGAAAAATATGCCTCACATTGCCTAGGCCTAGCTCAGCAACAGCAACAGCGCATCGTCTCAACCGGAGCCTGCACCGCCGCCCATCTCCGACATAAGCGTGCCCAGTCGGAGTCGAAGGGTGTACTGGGAAGAGGACTTCTGGTGGATACTGTGAGGAGCATGAACTGTAGCCGGTCGTGTCAAGCCAGGATGCGCAACAAAAAGAGTCACTGTTTCGGGTAACTAAGTCTAAACATGAAGCGGGTGGAAAACCGGGCCCCATCATGCCTACTGTTCTTCTTTGTCCATACCACAGTCGGACCTGTCCCTTGAAGCTGCAGGGCCGCAGAGTTTGCAACTATTTGGCCCCCTCCCCCCGGAAGCAAATAGACTCTAGGGTTTTAAGGTTTAGGGTTTGTACTGTCGACATGTGCAACCTCCATCGGAAAAAGGTGGCTTCGAGCCACGAGAAGGACCGAGAACAAACACCGAAGGATCTGTCCTGCCCGACAAGCACTTCTGTTAGTGCTCGCGCCATGATTGAAACACCTCAAATGCTATAGCTTAAGACTCAAAATCCGAGCCCTCACAAAAACCGTATGCAGCTGTATTGAACCCTAGAAAATCTCTGAAGCTTGTAAACTCTGCAACATCGTCGCTTCACAGCTGATCGCAAAGAGTGTGATGCACTCGACACGATCTTGTCGCAAGATCCTCTCGACTATATGCGTCTATATACACTCTATTCCACGGCAATCCCCCTAACCCTAAACCCGCAACACCGCACACAACCCCTAAGTCTTAAGCCCCCGTGGCCCCCGAAACCCTACACCCCCTAACCCGAAAATTCTTCAACTTCCCCCAGTCACCCGTCCTCGGCGCGAGTGACGGCCGCCGACGCCGCGCTCTGAAGCAAATCCTCGACGACCTCTTCCAAGGGTTTGGGGGCTAGGGTTTAGGGTTTAGGGCTTGGAGCGTTCAACGATATGGCCTTCGTCTCGGGCTTCGGGCCCACGTAGACCGGAACCCGCGAATTGTACGACGATGACTGCTGCTGCTCCTACTACTACTACTACTACTACTACTACTACTACTACCATTACTACCATTACTACCACTACTACGACTACTACGACTACTACGACGACTACTACTACTACTACTACTACTACTACTACGACTACCACTACTACCA